GATATGACGCCCTTCCGCGATTCCGTCGCTTGGCAACGGATGACTTACGCGTCGGTCTCGTCGCAATCGAGTTGATGGGATGGTTGGAGTCGGTACGTTTACTCCTCGTCTTCACATGTTATCAGGCTGTTCAACATGTAAGTTGGTGACACGAGTTTCGCCGGCCGGTTCCATGCCATCGTCTCAACAACGCCACCGGCTGCAGGCATCGGGCCATCTGGATTTGTGTAACTTGGTCCAACACCATTGTAGGGCCTGTATACTTCGAGAAATTTTTCCCTTGCGTCTGAATCAAAGATCAGGCTGGGATTTTATCGCAAAACGATTGCAAAAAGGATGCAACCCGGCCCCGAATCTTTGATGAATAACCCTGACAGTTTATCGGAGGGCAACCTTGTTCTCCTGGCAAGTCGGTGGTTATCAGCGCTTGCCACCAGTACGTCGTTCTACAATTGCTTTTGTATTGTGCTCGCCGTTTATCTTCTGTAAGACGCGTCGCTCGACACCTTTCCACAGTTCAAAATGAATGCCTCCAGAAAGGAGGTAGACAGATTCAAGGGTTGACTGGCATGTTTCGAGGCAACTCAGTCGCACTGCGGACAATATTGTGGGTATCTCTATTAGAAGTTAACTCGGTTTCTAGGCCAGAAGCTGGGAAAGCCGTTGTCTGTGAGCTCGAGAGAGCGAGGGACACGCCGTAAGTGCCTTGCTGTGTGGCGATGAAGGACGTCGACTTCCGTCTCTTTGCAACATGGTTGAACATTACCCAGACAGGTCCGCGTTGGCCTTTGGCGCGTGCTGGACTTCTCTGTCCATTGTGATGTCGATGGTGTTTCGAGGGAGCCGGGTAGCGATACAATAGCGATACAAGAGAGGCGAGCTCGTATGCGAGGAGCGGGCGTTTTCGAGGCAAAGGACGTCGCTTCACTCCAGGGCCGGCGTTCTTGGACGCATCACCCGGCGTGTTTGCTGCACACCCTGTCGCACGGCCGTCATAAGCGCTGTTGGGTCGTTTATGCCGAAGCCGCTGATGAGTACGCGCAGAACGAAAGCGCGGATCGGGAGACGGAGCCCCTGATCACATGGCACGACGGTGCTCTGTCCCGCCGTTCGACTTCCAGCACCCCTGGACGGGATTGGACTGGCGGACAAGGGCTACCGGGACTCGAAAGAGGTTGCGGCCCATGCTATCACTCTAGCCACCAGCCTAGGGGCTTTCTTCCTAGAGAGAACTGTTCTTACAGTCGCGGCGGGTTCAAGCACACCGTCTGCCTAGTAAAGTCTGGAGGCAAATGGCTGAGACTCCAACTGTTTCCATGATCCAGCGCGTCGTAACGTACCGAGACGCAACTGGCACGGATTCTCATGTGCATTGAATGTATGGACTGTAGAGAAAACAAGAAACGTAAATATTGCAAGGTGCTTTACTTTGCCATCTCTTACATGAATGGACTACAAGCCGGTATCCGTTTCCAACCCCTCGTTTGCGACGTGAGACGTAGATGAGATGACTGAATCTCGCACAACTACCGAGTCTTGCTGAGGAAAGGTCATAAACGACCGCACTCTCTCGTTTTTCTCGCGTCACTTTACTCTGGTACGCATCGGCATGTGATCCAGTTCACCCGCATGAGCTCCGGGGGGTCCGTTCAGATTACCTCGACAGTACCCAGGCCATCCAGTCATGTTCATCCCTCCGACATTCAACACGCCATCGCTTAATACTGGCACAACCTGGACCGCCCATCTTTGCCTTTTTGGGGGATCCGGCTGGATCCCCGTTGCGGTGAAGCACAATGGCGAGGGTCATACTTTGGTCATGCCGGTCGTGGTGCTCCAGACGCCATGAGACAGTTCCAGGGATGGAAGAGGGCGATGGATCACGGCTCGTTGGAAGGTGTCTTGCATGGCTTTGTACAGGCGCAAGGGCAAAGCCGTCGCAAGGTCTCGAGCAGACGGGGCCACCGTTGCTGGCGGCACCGGTTTGCCATGCATACTGCGGTCATGGTGACTGTTTGGGCCCCTTTACCTGAATGTGCGATCCGTGCCGCCACCTTCATAGAACCTGGATACATGGGGTTTCCACGGCCCCGGCCGCGAGGTTGATGGAGCCCTGCGCGGACCTTTGTCACCTCGGGCCTTCCCTGCCATGTGTCTTTGTCAATCCATCGCCCTAAACCAAAGTCTCTCCTCTATCGTCCAACGTCGACTTGGAATAAGGCTCTCGTTTTCGCGAGGCCAGGGAGCTGGGCCTAGTTGCGGCAGGCAGCTTGGAAACACGCGTCGTGGCCAGGAAAGCAGCGAATTCAGCGCCAGCAGCCAGACCGCTATTGGCACCTACCGACTACCCGTTTCCCGTACCGTTGCAAACGTATCACTGCGCGGTTACGCCGCGGAATCCACGCAGGCGGCCCCGGAGACCGTCGAGATCGCTGGCCTGGAGCCTGGACGCCCGACTTCCGAGACGCCTCAAACGATGGGGCTTGATTGAGGAGGTTGTTGGGCGGTAGTCTTTGCCAGTGCCCTCCGCAACCTCCAACCCCCGCGTCCTCGACCAGGAATGATGTGCGTTCTCTTGGGCATCCTTGTTGTTTCCTTACAAACACGTTGGAGCCGAGGGAGACAAATGGCCGTCCGCAGAGCTTCCAAGGTGGCGTACTCGACTGAGAACACAGCGAGCACCCGTATGGTATCGGGCCGGGTGAATAGAGTGCCCCCCACCCCGATCTTGTTTACTGTTTCTCTGCATCGCTCGTCCCCCATCGAACGTATTGCCTGGCGAGTGCGCCACGAACACTTGAATAGGCGGACGCTGGAAATAGCCTCCAGGTGATCGATCGTTCACACCATGCCCGGCCCTTCAAGCCACCGCGCAAGGCGCAAGCTGAAAACGTTCGCGCTCTGCGAGACTCCTGCCGCACCTGCCCTGAACAAAAAGGCTGACGGACAATACTGGCAACGAAGAGATGCAGTAAATCCACTTTCCGTGTTTGTTGCTGTCGGCCAAAAACCCACCGTTTGTCGTCCGATGCACATTGAATGCGGTCGAGGTGATGTTCATGCACGCCCACTCTACTGAAACGGTTCATCTCAAGTGAGGTCTTGACACCATACTGGGATGGGCGCACCGGGAACTGTCAGAGCATAATACATCATTTGGATAATAAGCTTAGCCCCCTATTGCTCTTCTGCTCCAATAAATCGCACGTAGGACATGGCAACCGCAATCAATCTATCCATAGGTGTTATATATAGCTTTTGTCAAACACTTTTCTGATCGCAGCCGCCTCGACTTCCTGCCTCTCGTCTATCCAACCCCTGTCTTCATTTTATCATCAAATCATATCACAAACAGGGCCTCGCAGATGTCCAGGCCAAGGAAGCCCGTCTAGACGGAATAGTCCAGCTTCTTCCCGTCAAGCACCTTCCAAAACTCCTCCACAATCTCCCTCTGCCCGGCCGGCGCCCCTCTGACGGCGAGATAGACCCTCTCGTCCACAGCAGGCTCCCAGACGCCCGGGTTTCCGCCGACCATGATCCCGCCCGCCTCCGTCAGGATACACCAGCCCGCGCACACATCCCACGCCCAGCACCCGCCCTCCAGTACATGTCCAGCTGGCCGGCCGCCACGGCCGCGAGGTTCAGCGCCGCGGACCCCAGTGCGCGCATCGAGTGGACCATCGCGCCGCCCGTCTCCTTGGTCGCGGCCAGCCTCTTGAACGTCTCGGCCTTGAGCTCAAAGTTGGGCCCGTCGCGCGTGGAGCCCCACTCGCACGCCAGCAGCGCGCCGTCGAGCCCCTTGAGCGGGATCGGGCTCTTGGCCAGGGGCAGCCGCTGCGGCGGGCCGCCCGCGCGGCGCATGTAGCTGCCCTTGCCCTTGATGCCCGTGAACAGGAGGTCCTGGAAGGGGTTGTAGATGACGCCGACGACGGGGACGCAGTCGACGGATAGGCCGAGGGAGATGCAGGCGTCGGGGAAGGAGTGGACAAAGTTCGTGGTGCCGTCGATGGGGTCCACGACGAAGGTCGGTTCCGGGCCGAGGCGGGTGCCCTTTGTGTACGTCTCCTCGCCCATGAAGGAGATGTTGGGGTAGGCGGACTGCAGGCGGGTCGACACCATTTTCTCGACGGCTTGGTCTGTTTCGGTGACGATATCGACGGCTGTTGGGGGAGGTCATTGGGCGTTAGCCAGGTAGCTCGGATGGCAAGGGACAAAGGGATGCTGGGCACGGAGGACGACGAGGAGGGACTACGTACAATTGAGCTTGGTGCCCTGGTCAATCGACGACGGGTTGGCGGCCAAGATCATCTTGCCCGCCTCGCTCGCGATGTCGAGGAGGGTGTCATGTATCTTGTGGAGGTTGAGGTCTGCCATCTTTGCTGCTGTTTGGTGGTGCTTCGGTCTACACCGTCTAGAGGACGGTTGAGGTCGCTAAAGGAGAATCGAATTGATCCAATTGCTAGCGCCGTGTCTCGGCTCGTTAATTACAGAGTTGTGAAGGCGGTAGGGCGGTAGGGAGGCGCTCTTTGTCGATCAATGTTGGGGTCGGAGCTCGCTCTTTGGAGGGGTAGGAAACCGAGGGGGAGAATTGGGACGTGGAATGATGGCGGGGTTTTGGGGAGGGAGGAATGAGGTCACAGCTGGCAGGCGGTGGGCGCTGTGGGGAAAGCGGGCGATTCCCAGTCCTTCCACTCTTCCGCCCCTCCTCCAGTGCAATTGAGTGCAAGCTGACCCCGGTCCACCCGGGCGCTGTCGTCGTCGCGAAAGCTCGGGGTGTGTGGTGTTGAGCGGGCCGGGAGCAGGTAGGCGGACAGGGGAGGTAATGAACCAGAGGGGGAAGCGGACCAATGGCGAGCTGTGGACGCAGCATGCGATGCCGAGACGAGGCCTGCTTGGGTCACGACGGTGCTCGCAACGAGAACATGAGTTACTCGAAAACAGAAAACAGTCGACAAAACTGTACGCGGGACGTGGCGTGCCTGCCACCGAGAAAAAGACTGTTCCCACACCGAGGTTCGAACTCGGGTCTCTCCGGAACGCTTCCAAGGGATTGAAAGCGGAGTATCCTAACCACTGGACTATATGGGACTGCTTGTACCCAATTGGTTGAGACACTTAGACAAACGTTGTCTTATGAACTAAGCATGCAAACGGGCATGAAATTCCGCATTGTCCAAACTGGTTCATCCAAGGTCTCGTCCTTTACCGGCCTGTCCGGCGGAACACTAAAAAACACTCGACATCCGCTTCTCTAAGCCGACAAATTTCATTGTGAGATACTCAAGTCATTATACCGACGGGGCGAATGCACTCCACCGCCTACCTAGGGAGCCAATCGTCTCTGGGCGAGCAGCTTGCGAACAGTGGTTTGGGAAGAGGGAACCCTTCAGCGGTTCATTGTGTGTATATATCGGCCGCTCAAAAATAAGCTTGGAAAGCGAGAAACAACAGAAATCCCAACGCCTTTGGAATCGCATAGCATATATCCTCCAATCGTGACATGTTCCCGTGAACCCTCCCACCTTCCGGGCCCGCTTTCCTTACTCGTTACGTTCGTCGCATTGCCCCCGACGACAAACCACTCTTCCCCATATTCCGCCAGGGATATAATTCTGCCCTCCTGAACCGACCGCAATCCCTATGCTGGACACGAGCCAAGCTTTTGTGCAGGGCGCCCCCGTACCTTCCCGTCCTCGCCAGTAACGGGCTCGTGGCCCAAGCTTCAAGGTAGCCCACGTTCCTATACATTCTCCCGGAAAATGGACCTCCGCTCCGTCGGGCTCTCTCCGTTATCCTTCTGCTGCTGCTGCTGTTGCGACCCCGTATCGACAATCGGCCGGGGGCTAACGCCGCGCAGGCTGATGTTGCTCGGCTCCGCATCATCCTCGAACGGATTCCGGCTGCCCGACTTGGGCACGCCCAGCCCGACATCGTCGTCGCCAGGCCGGCTGAGGCTCCGACCCCGCGCCGGCTCTTCGTGGTGCGCGCCCGGCGTCGCGGCGAGGTTCATGCTGTAGCTGTTGCCGCCGTCCGCGCCACTGCCACCGCGGTACCCGAGCTCCTGCTCCTCGTAGTTGCCGTAGGGGCCGTACGTCTCGGCCTCGTGGCCGACGCGCGCATCCCAGGCCTCGTCCGGGTCGAGTGGGCCGAAGCCGCGGCGGGGTGCGCCGGCGCCCGAGGGCTGCTCGTAGGCGCCCGCGGCGGAGCGGTTGTTGCGGTTCTTGAACGAGGTGATCTTGTCGTTGAACCAGCCGGCGATGCCGCTCGGCGCCGGGCGCGGGGGCCCGTACGAGGGCGGCGGGTCGGATTTGCGGAACGGGATGTAGGAGGAGAGCGACGGGGGCGGAAGCTGTTTGCTCATCGGTTAGTAAGGATCACTTGGGTAATGGCTTGGCGGCGGATGGACAGTGGGCAACGTACGCCTAGTCTGCGGGCGCGGAGCTGGGTGAAGACGACCCAGCCGATGACGCCGACGAGGGCAAGGACCAGGACGGCGATGACGATGCCTCCGGCGGCTGACACCATGTTCGCGATGCAATTGCGACGATGCAAGTCCGTCGGCCTTTGTTGGTGGGGGGAGGAGAGAGGAAACAAGGGTTCTCAGCGCGACGTCGACGATGCGGCGGCAGCGACTGTGGTGGTGGTGAATGCGGTGGTGTGGTGGTGGTGGTTGAGGATGTGAGGCGGGCGGACGATGGAGGTCCGGTTCATGAGAGGTGGTCGAATGGGCGTGGTGTGGTTTGCGTCGTCCTCTGCTGCTTGGTTCGGTTCGTTGTTGCGTCCCGGAGCCTTGGCTTGGTGGGCTGTGTGTGCGTGGGTGTGTGTGTGGATTGTGCGACGTACACGGACACGGGCACACGCAGTTGGGAGCAGCAGTGCGCCTAGAGAGCTGAGTGAGAGGCCGTCCGAGGGAAGGGCGGGAAAAATGGCCGTAAGCTTGATCCCCGACTGTGATGAGGTAAAGTGGATTGAGAGAGAGGAAAAGAGCAGCGAGACGGAGGCAGACGTAAGGCAGGCCGGGCCCGTTGAAACCTTGTTTGATGAGTTTGATGAGAGACGGTGCGGTGCGTTGCGCAAGGCCAGGTCGGTCAGCACCCAAGCTTTGGTTTACACGCACCCAAGGTCAGCCGTTGCTTTGTTTCCGAGGTTGGCCAAGACGAGGTGAGAAGGCAGCGCAAGGCGAGAAAGCAGCGAGGAGGATTGCAGGCCGCCCGGTGCAGAATGAAGCACGACGGACGGGGGTGAGCTTGGCTGCACCCCAATCCCCCCGGCTGCCGATTCCAGACGGCCCCCAGTTCTTTAGCTCCGCGGCCTCCGTCAGCGTTCCTTCATTGTGGCCCACGAGCGGTTGCTGCCCATCGTCCCCAGGTCTTCCTCCACTCGGCTGTTCACGAACACCGGTTTTTGAAGCCCGGCGGCGCGGTGCTTCTTTAGCGGATGGTCTACCCAAGGCCGGGGTGGGAGCTGTCCTGCTGCTTGCTGTTGCAGCCCAATCGTTTCCAGCCTTCCTGACTTTGCTCTTTTACTCCCCGAAGCTGAGCTGAGGGAGGACTGCGCGCGGGCCGGCGCTAAGATGCGTGTACATTCCACTCAACAACACTGGGACTCTTGTCGCAAGGGCACTTCAGTTCAACGAGGATTGGGTTCAGACAATCCGCAAAGAATCCTCCACGTTTTCTCTTCGTCTCTTGCCTCAACACAACAGCGAGGCAGTCCCAGGGGTTGTCGACGGTGGGCGGCCGAACCCAGAAGGCTGCATCCCGTTCCGGGAGACGCAACAAAGAGCTCAATGGCGTGCACCAGCGCATCGGAGAGAAGAAACTCGTGTGGTTTTTTTCTTGGGCGGTGCTCGAGGTGCTTTAGTCTCCTCTTTGTTCGGCCAAGAGCCGGGAAACGAACCCAGCTTTGAACCCCTGCCTTTCATGATCCAAACTTGGCGTGGGACGGGACCTTGCGCTATTCATGGCGGAGAAACGAACCCAGCCCCTGCAGTCACTCGAGACGAAACATCTCAACCAAATCCTCACTTCAGCCGTTGGTGAAGGCGGTTGCGCCTTGGATGACGTTCTGCAGCTTGCGTGCATGGACCCGGGCATCATGTCAGATGCGGCATTCCCGATGTTCAATGTCTTTGACGGCTTGCATGTCACCCAACTCAGAGGAGGGCATCGTCTCCATGAGCCAAGAGGCCGCCCCGCCCGTCGCCGCCATCTGCCTGACCCGGACTGCTAGGCCCCTGTCAACTGAAACTTTGGTGCCACCAACGACCCTCCGGCACTTGACACTCGGCACGTTTTGTTCGCGAGCTTACAGGCTGGGAGCCAACGTTGGCACAAGTCATGTCCTCTCAACTCTATCGAGAGAAGCTGTATTCATTCCTCCTCTAGCTCTACTCTAACGGACAAGGGGGGAAAGGGAAAAGAGCAAGCCTAATCTGGGTATCACACGAAACACTGGTCCCAGAGCCCTCCGCTCCTCGCAAACCCCATGCTCTCCACAAACGGCCCCAGCTTGCACCGCCCAAGCTCGTCGGCGCCGCACCCGATCAGCGGTACCACCCGGTCGTTGACCAGCACCCGGACCATCTCCTCTTCCGCGCCGCCGCACTTCATCTTCTCCACGTACATGCGTGCCGCGAACGGCACCGTCCAGCTGGCCGTGAACCCCTTGGCCTCCGCCACCGACGTCCGGTTCGTCTTGGACAGCGGCTGCGTCTCGTTGTACAGCCCCAGCGCGCCGTAGATGGCCATCATGTCGTTGTCGTGGCTGAAGTCGGCGTAGAGCTTCTTGTCGAGGGGGAACGTCGCCGAGTCTGCGTCGAGCGTCGAGTTGGTCGACGTGCGGTCCACGACGGGCTGCCGCGTCAGGCGCGCGATGAGCTCGTTGGTGAAGCCCACGCCCTGCGTCGGCCCGAGCGGGTTGCCCGCGTTGAAGCCGTAGTACTTGCCCAGCGTCTCGTGGTACTCGAGGCTCTTCCACTCGTCCAGCGTGAAGAGGTCGCAGAACTGCGACTGGGTGCCGTTGACCACCGTGTTGAACGGGCACAGCTGCATGAAGCTGATGGTGTCGGCGGCCGTCAAGTTCGCGCCGGGCAGGTTCTCGTTGAGGCGGGCCGTGATCGGGGGCGTGAAGGTGTCGCGCCACGGGACCTGCGCCTCGTCGCCGACCTTGGAGAACGCGCCGTCCTCAAAAGCGGTGCACAGGCCGTGGTCCAGCGTGTTGTTGATGCCCTTCGCCTCGGGGATGATGGTGACGAGCCCGACGATGCCACCGTCGGGCCCGTTGTGGCCGTCGGCAATCTTGGAGCCGTAGAAACCTTGGGTCCAGTTCAAGCCGGACTCGACCACGCGGTCCTGGCCCGAGGATCTGATGAAGGGGTCGTTGGTGGCGGCGAGCGCCTGGTAGCGTCTGTAGAATGCCTCGCCGGAGTCGACAAGCTCCTTCTGGCCGAAGGGCGTAAGCTGGTCAGCGCCGAGGGTGTACTCGTACGTCTTGATGAACTCGAAGCCTCTGCCGTAATTGGTGACGCTGGCGTGGATGCGGTCGACGAGCGCCTTGTAGGTCGCCGTCTTGCCGGCGGTGGGGTCCCGAGCACCGTGCCGTGACAGGATCTGTGCGAAGGTGACCTCGCAGCCCGGGGGCGTGGCAGCGTTGATCTCGGACGGCACCGAGAAGAAGGGGGAGTACTGGCCCCAGAACTGCGAGATGGACTCGAGACCGTTGCGCGGTGCCTGGCCGCTGACGAAGCTGTTCGTGTTGTGAGCCTCATGGTTCACACACGCGAGGGTTGAGAGCGATAAAGACAAGACTCACCTGAAGCCCAGGGCTAACGAGAGGAGAATAGCAAAAGCCATGGCGGCGATTGTGAGTAGGAAAAGTCGGCGTCTGGAGTCTGGCAAGCGGGTCTCACGATGCACATCGGCCTCGTCTCTCTCGCCCTCCTCGTCGGGGATGGCATTGTATTTATGTGCCTTCCCTGCGAGGACGTCCCTCAGAGACTGGTAGGCCGACGTAGCGACGTCGGAGACACCCATCGCGGCAGTTGAGCGGACGGACTAGAGAGAAGAAAAAAGAGATGCAAGGTCGCC